AACTCATTACCTGCGCCAGCGCTCGCGCAGCAGCCGCGCTATTTTTAGCGCGTGTACGTGGTGGGCAACAGGTGCGGGTGGCTGCGCGTACACGTGGTGGGCAGCAGGTCCGGTTGTGCGCGTGCACGGAGCCCCGCAGCATAAGTGGTGGTTTACGCGGGGGTGGGAGGTAAAATAACGCGAGGCGGTGGAGATTCAGCCACGAGCCATGTCCCACAGAGAGGACGCTGGTGCGGGGAGGCTGATCACCCGATCGGCGGCAGCCCGGCGCGAAGGGGAGGAGGTGCAAGGAGGAAAGGAGGAGGGGAGCATCAGCCCCCACAGATCCCCCGTATAGCCATAACAGACTTTTGGGCCAAGTGCTGTTAGCGAATAGCACCGCTAATAATAATGTACATTTATTTGTAAGACGCCATACACTAATGTCTCAAGGCGTGGCACACGAGGGAGTAGGTGGCCAGCACTACACCCGGCCGCCTTTGTCTTCCTAGTAGGGATGTTTACACACCGCACCGGGTACTCATTTGAGGATGCGTCGACTTAAAAGAGGCCCAGGACCGGTGCAGATGATATAATCGTCACTGGTGTTGGCCTTCAGCTTTAATCGAAACTACGGCGTGCGCTCGTCGTGCTACCAGCAGTGGCGTGAGCCAGCTGCATGGCTCGTTTGCACCTTGACCTGTTCATTGTCGTCAATGATGTGTTCGGTCACCTGGCTGTGACAAGCAGGGGGCACTCGAGACTTGGGAAGTCGGGATCGAGCAGTACAGCAAGTAGGATTCTGACGCAGTACAGAAATTGGGATTTGTACGCAGAACAACAATTCGGATTCTGGAAGTCAGCCTTGTAGGGGTGTGCGACTCTTCCCGTTCATGTGGAGTTTTTCCAGGCATTACTCCAATTTGCTCCTACGTTCAAGTTGGGCTGTTGTTGTTTTTGGGTAAGACTCGTCGTTTAAGCATTCGTTTACCACAAAGGCATCCAGTGAGAGGAGGGCATCACGGACAATGCGGTGCTTACATTTGGGTCTCGGTGAGATTTTTCCTGAGCCAAACCTCACGGTGAAAGTCACCGCTGTTGGGAGTGGAGAGAGGGAGAATGTTTGTGTTTTTTATTATCACGGAAAATTAAAAAAAAGAACAAACACCGAGGTAGGAACAACACTCGGCCTGTTTCTCACCGAGCCCCGGTGCGGCCAAGCGAGAGGAGCGAGCGAGGAGCCACCGGCTCGCCCCGACTGAGCCGGGTGACATCAAGAGAAGAACAAACCAGCCTTCCTCGCGAATGAACTACCGCTGGAAGCTGTTGCGGATATACCCCCAACGGACCCCGACCGCCCCATACCCCCCCCCCCACCCGGCGTTAGGTGCGTGAATTCAATCCGTGTGAGAAGGCTCCTCTGATCAGAGCTCCCCTGGCGAGGGCGCCGCGGCGTTCCGAGTGAGGCCGGGGGGAGATCTGAATAACGCGGTCGTTCGGTTGCTGAGAGCGGGGCGGTTTTTTTTCTTCCCCACTGCCACCCGAGACAAACCTTGCAGCAGGAATCGCGAGGCTGAGAGCGAGTCGGTGAGGGCTGAGGAGGCGATTCTTCCCCCCCGCCCCCACTCTTTGCTCCGGGTAAATTGGCAGGGGCTAAGTGCGTGCCGAGTTACATGTGTGTGTGTCTGTGTGTGTGTCTATGTGTGTCGGTATGTGTCTGTGTGCGTGTCTGTGTGTGTCTGTGTGTGGGGGAGCGGTGGTGTAGCGGTTAGCACGCTGCTCTGCAAACCTGGCGACCCGGGTTCGATTTTGGCTCACTTCCAACACCAGTGACGATTATCTAAACCGGTCCTGGGCCTGCCCTAGGTCGATTCAGCCTCAAATGAGTACGGTGTGTAAACATTCGTCACTGGGGAGACAAAGGCGGCCGGGCGTGGTGTTGGCCACCCACCCCCTAGTGTGCCGTGCCGGCCTTCATAGGCGCTCGATAACAGCACTTGCCCCAACAGTCTGTTAAGGCTATAGGGAGATCTTTGTCTTTGGGGAGCGGTGGTGCAGCGGTTAGAGCGCCGCCCTATGAACCCCACGACACGAGTTCAGTTCGATTTCCACTCACGGCCAACATCAGTGACGATTATTTTAAACCGGTCCTGGGCCTCCCCTAGGTCGACTCAACCTCAAATGTGTACCGAGTACGGTGTGTAAACATCGCCACTAGGGAGACAAAGGCGGCCGGGCGTAGTACTGGCCACCCATCTCCTCGTGTGCCATTCCGCTAACATCACTTGATGGATCTTTGTAGCGGTAGCGCAGTGGCTGGCGCATTGCACCACAAGCTATCTTAGTCGAGTTCAATTCCCAACCACAATTCAACATCTGCAGCACGATGTATCTCTGGGCACTCCGGGTATTCCCTCCACATTTAGAAACATGCGTTCAGAGCATTTGGCTGCTTTACATTTCCACTTCATTGAGCTATCATTCGTGGTCAGGTCGCTTCTGAAAAAAGAGATTAATAGCTCAGTGGGCCTTACCTGGTAAAATAAAATAAAATAGTTTGTTTAGTTTAACTCAAGCTGCCGGGGTTCGTAGTGCAGCACGCAATCCACTGCGCCACCACTTCCCATAACGCAGACACGCACACGCGCACGACTCCTGTGCCATACACAACCCATCTGGTTCACATTTAATCTTGGCGTTGTCGTAAGAGAGAGAGAGGAGAGAGCGTGAGATGTGTAAAGTGGGATGAGGAGGACGACGCGGTGAGAATCAGCAGTAGATGGCCACGAGCCTGTGGCGTTGTGCAGGAGAGGATGAGGAACGGTGGGAGCGGGCAGGGAGGGCTCGCGGCCCCGATGGCTGCAGGGGGTGGTGTGGGGGAGAGAGCGGAGAGGACGTGCAGGGTGAGAGATTCGAGCAGGGGTTGTCAATCTATCAACGAAGGAGAGCCATTTTGGGGGTTCTGTCTTTGACCAAAAATATTTCGAGAGCCGCATCCCACGCAGAGCTACTTGTCCACAAACACAGCAGTGGGTATACAGCTCGATAATAACACACATGCTGACTTAAATAAATAACAAATGTGATGGAATGAAAGGCGTCTATTTAGTTTTTCCCCCTTATTCTAGAGTTTAACTGCACATTTTGTTGTCACTAAGACATTGCACAGTGATCCATCCCCTGATATATTTAATCAATTATATTTTCGTAAAATTACGTTTAAGATTTTTTTGTTTTTTAAACGGCTTCCCGCAACGGTGCAACCAAAGAGCCGCATTTAACTCCGGAACCTCAGGTTGCCGACCCCTTGGATTAGAAGCTTCGAGGAGCAGCGGAGTAGAGTGGGCGAGTGGGAGAGCGTGTGAGCAGAGATGCCTTCTGTGTGTACGATTTAGTCGGGGTCGGAGGCTGGCGTTCTTCCTCAGCGACCACGAGACCGCCCGTTCAGCCCCATGGAGGACTGCTTAAAGGAGGGAGGGGGCTTGGGCAGGGACAGTGGACCGTGGTCGAGACTCGCAACGGAGCAGCAGCCAAAGGAGGGAACGCACCAGAGAGAGTACGCCCATCGCGGAGATGGAGCGATTAATTCAGCCCCTGTGTGCAGAAGCGAGATGGATGCTGGCGCTGGAGGACCGTGAGAGAGGGTGATGGCTTTGGGGAAGGCTTTCATCGGGTGCGGTGGTGGCTATGCACGTGGCCTGTAACCCTGCGCCGTGGAAGCAGCAGCGAGGGTTGGTGGTTCACGCGCAGATGGTGTGAAACTCCCTTCCCGTGGGTGTCGAGGAGGTGCCGTACCCCGGCTCGCCAGAAGGCGGTAGTGCACGTTGATTCATCGCCACCTGTTTCAATCTGTACGAGGATAGAGCGTTGTCCCGGGGTGCTCCAGTTTCTTCCCTCGTGTAATAATAAACACTCATCTGGAATTTGGCTGAAACCATCTAAAATGACGTTTTAAAAATACAATGTAGGACACTCCCGAAAAAAAGTCCTAAGGCTCCGTGTGGCTTTCCTGGATATTATTCTAAAATGAAATTAATATATTACATAATATATTCAGCAATGGATTGATCCTGGCCGATGAGCATTGTTTAACGGAGAGAGGTTTGTTGCTTTGTGTGATCGACACAGAGAGATTGGGGGCGGGGGGAGGGTGTTGGCGTTATCGCGTAACGCGCGCGGTCGAGCGGTCTCACAGATGTGGAGGTGGCGAGGTGAGAGAGGAAACGGGGACACGTAGACATGCCGGGAATGAGAGAGGCTGAGCGGCCTACACTACAAAGACAAAGATCCCCCGTGTAGCCTGAAATAGACTGTTGGGGCAAGTGCTGTTAACGAGCACCTGTAAAGGTCGGAACGGCACACGAGGGGGTGGGCAGACTTCACAACACCCGGCCGCCTTTATCTAATGCCTGATACCGGGTACTTATTTAAAGCTGAGTTGACGTAGAGGAGGCCCAGAACGGGTTGAGACATTCGTCACTGGTGTTGACCGTGAACGGGAACCGAACTTGGGTCGCCGGGTTCGGAGCGCAGTGCGCAAACCGCTGCACCACCGCTCCAAATAATGCACGCACACAGCCACGCACGAGCTCAGAGAAAGCCACTCGGGGCCAGACGAGGCCTCGCGTGCTCCCTGCAAGGATGCGTGGACCCTAAATCGGACCCCAACAACACAACCGCCATCGCAACATTCCCTGGGGGCTTCACCCGTCCATGGAGGAGAAGAAGTGGCGGTTTGGGCGCGGTTGCTTGAGGGAAGACGGAGAAGGCACGGGGCCTCGGGAGGCCGAGGCACAACGCACGGGTCAATCAGAGCTCGTGGGAGTTCCCTGGAGGACGGACCCGACTCCGTCAAGCATCGGAGAGCGGAGAGAGTAAATATCTATCCGCTCTGCGCTCTCGGGCAGCAGCAGCAGCGCAGACCACGCGCGCCTTTCAAGGAGGGAGGGAGGAACCGTGCCGGGAGGAGGGGGAGGTAGGGAATTGGGGAGAGTGAGGGGAGGGAGGCAGAGAGGCAGTAAGAAGGGAGACCGGGAAGGGAAGAGGGGAGGGAGGTGAGGGAAGGAGGGAGGGAGCGGGGATAACATCGCTTTCCTGGCCATGGGCCCCAAACGGACGGTGGGGGGCGGACGAGTTTTGGGGTCTCAGCTCGCGGTGAGCACGGAGACGCCACTGCGCGCACAGCGCTGCGGCGACACCAACAACAACAACAACGACCGCCATTCGCCACTAAGTGGCGGTGACGTCACCACGACGCTTGTGCCAGGCTATGTGCACCTTCAGGCCACCGCATCATCAGCAACATCATCAGCTGCAGCGTCACTGCGTGCCATCAATCATCTGCCTGCAATTAATCATCTCGAGCCGCAGGGTCGTTCTCAGCACCTGCACATTCTTCAGATTGAACACCATAATTATCATCATCGAGAGGGGGGGAAGGGGCTTCAGCATTTCTATAAATCATCTTCATCACCATCGTCGCCAGCGTCATCGGGGATGGAAAGGCAGCAGGGGCGCGCGCGCGGCCACGCAGTCTGGTGAAGGAGGAGGCGGCGGCGGCGAAGCGCTCTCCCCGCGGCCACGAGCGAGGGGTTCCCCATTGGCTGCTGTCGCTGCAACTTGTTTTGTTTTTATTCCCCCTTTGTCTTTCTCACGACCTCGCGTGGAACTGAAATAACCGCGCGCTGCGAGCGAGCAAGCGACGCGCGGCAGCAGCAGTCGCCGCAGCTTTCACGGGAATGGACCGCCGGCAATAAAACACTGCAGCAGCAGCAGCGAGCGGCTTCATCATCACAGTCGTGCGCGCAGAGAAGCACACGCGACAGAGGACGCCGCAAGGCGAGACAAGGGACGACGCGCCGCGCCCAGACGCAGGCGCGGGGCTCGCGGCTGCCGCCCGGCAGAGTTCCGAGCGGAGGAGCGCCTAGGGGACGCGACTGGGGCCGCGATGGTTCACACCGTGACGGCCATCTCTCTGGTCAGCCTCGTGACCCTGGGCTACCTCTCGTGGAACATGGTGCGGCCCCTCGTGGGAGACTCCTTGAGTCTGCAGCACGGGGCCAACGCCACCGCCGAGCGAGATGACATCAACACCATCACCGCCATCGCCAACAGCACCTCGTACTCCACCTCAAACTCCTGCACCACCAACACCACCTCCACCAACGCCTCCTCAACATCCTGCACATCGACCAACACATCCTCCTCCTACTCCCCATCCTCCGCGGGGGTCCCGGTTAGCAGTCGGGGACCCGCCCTTGCCAACCCAAGGAGCTCGACTCCGCGGCCCCACATCGTGTTCATCCTGGCGGACGACCAGGGCTACCACGACGTGGGCTACCACGGCGCCGAGATCCGCACGCGGGCGCTCGACCGCCTCTCGGCGCAGGGCGTGCGCCTGGAGAACTACTACGTGCAGCCCGTGTGCACGCCGACCCGCAGCCAGCTGCTCAGCGGCAGGTACCGCCGGCCGGTCCAGCCGCCGGGAGCGATCCATCCCTCGTGGCTGTGGGTCACGCGTGAAGTGACGTCCGTGTGACGTGTCCCGTGGGTAACTTCTCGCGTGTAACGTCACGCGCGCGTCGCGTGTGACGACGTTAACGTCTCTCAGGTGTAACGTCTCTCAGGTGTACATTCTCTCAGGTGTAACGTCTCTCAGGTGTAACGTCTCTCAGGTGTACATTCTCTCAGGTGTAACGTCTCTCAGGTGTAACGTCTCTCAGGTGTACATTCTCTCAGGTGTAACGTCTCTCAGGTGTAACGTCTCTCAGGTGTAACGTATCTCAGGTGTACAGTCTCTCAGGTGTAACGTCTCTCAGGTGTAACGTATCTCAGGTGTACATTCTCACAGGTGTAACGTCTCTCAGGTGTAACGTCTCTCAGGTGTAACGTATCTCAGGTGTAACGTCTCTCAGGTGTAATGTCTCTCAGGTGTAACGTATCTCAGGTGTACATTCTCTCAGGTGTAACGTCTCTCAGGTGTTACGCCAATGAAGTGTGAAGTGTCTCAGGTGCAACGTCTCTCAGGTGTACATTCTCTCAGGTGTGACGCCTCTCAGGTGTAACGTCTCTCAGGTGTAATGTTTCTCGGGTGTAACGTCTCTCAGGTATAACATCTCTCAGGTGTTACGCCAATGAAGTGTGAAATGTCTCAGGTGTAACGTCTCTCGCCTTCATATCCCGGCCCGTGGGGGATGGACGAGTCTCACGGCTGAAGGATTGGAGGGATGCACAGTTGGGAGAGCGCGTGTTTGGTGTGCGCCCGTGCATGGGGGCACCCGCATGGCGCGCCGCTGCCACGTCGGGAGGAATGCACGCGGAGCGTCTGGCGTTCACAGGCAACTCAACGTGTTGATGATTGCAGCAGCAGCTATGTTATTAAGAATATATATTTTATTGCCGCGGAATATATATAAATCTTTCATTGGAGGGGCAGTGCTTTTGAGGAATGCGTTGGGCTTTTAGGCGCGTTTTCGCATACCGCACTGCCGACGTAGCGTCACGGTGTCGTCTCCAGACCACGGCTGGAATGGGGCAGCTGTCTCGGGGCACAGTGAGATCTCGAGCAGACGTGCGGTGGCAGTGAAGCTCACCTGGATAAGACGCGCTCACCTGTGCAAGCCCGGCCTCCGTGTGAGTGGGCGTCAGTGACTCGAGATTGAGCAACTGCCGTATTGAACGCACCTGTAGTTGTGTAGCCTCAACGAATATACCTCAGCTGTTTTATCCCAGTAACCACCTCACCTGCACTATACTCACCTGTATAGTATAACCTTCATATGTTTACGGATTTTTGTTTTATCAGGTGGGAATTCAAGATACTAATTTTTAAGAGTGGCCTGGGTCACCGAAACAACAAAAGCAACACAAGTACAGTAGAGCAATGAAGATCAAATAGAAATCTGTACAAAAACAATCTCTGTCACATGAAGAATTGAAAATATCGCACAAACATCAATAGTTATTAGACTTGATTCGAAGCTTTCGTGACTGCAAGAATTACTCTTTGTTTTTTTCGGTAAAGTCACGTATAAATAAAAAATAATAAAATAACAATAGCGTATGACGTTTCGGTTGCAACACAAGCAGCCATCATCAGGTACAGAAGAGCTAAATTTACGAGAGAGAGGAAACACATAACCCCAGATGTATATACAGACACCCAAGTAGGGGGGAACTAACACAGATATAACAGGGTACAACAGAGAGAGAAGCATACCAAACAATCAGGGTTTATCAAAATTTGGAAACCATATAAAGCAACACAGACGGTCGGTCAAAACACAATTAACGCATAGTCTGGTTGATGACTGTACGACGAAACGTCGTACGCTATTGTTATTTTATTATTTTTTATTTATACGTGACTTTACCGAAAAAAACAAAGAGTAATTCTTGCTGTCACGAAAGCTTCGAATCAAGTCTGAACCACCTCTACGGGGAGGTATGAGGTCTATGTCTTTGTGTTGTCTCTGCTTGTGCATCTGCCTTTGTGTCTTGGCTTGGATTTGTGTCTCTGTGCTGTCTCTGCCTGTGTTTGGGCCTTGGTGTTTCCGAGTGTGTGCTGCCGCGCCCCCTTTGCTCCATGCATACCTCATGCTAATTTGTCCCATTGTCTCTCAGCCTCACCTTCTCTGCCTATTTAAGGCGACTTCACTGTGTGCGTGTCTGTGCTGGTTCACTCTACTTGGATGTCTATGTGTGTGTGCGCGGTCTGTATTTTAAATGTCATACTTAACTTGCAATTTAACAATCTTTGAAATAGCGTAATCAACCAGACTATGCGTTAATTGTGTTTTGACCGACCGTCTGTGTTGCTTTATATGGTTTCCAAATTTTGCTAAACCCTGATTGTTTGGTATGCTTCTCTCTCTGTTGTACCCTGTTGTATCTGTGTTTGTTCCCCCCTACTTGGGTGTCTGTATATACATCTGGGGTTATGTGTTTCCTCTCTCTCGTAAATTTAGGTCTTCTGTACCTGATGATGGCTGCTTGTGTTGCAACCGAAACGTCGTACGCTATTGTTATTTTATTATATTTTTTATTTATACGTGACTTTACCGAAAAAAACAAAGAGTAATCAATAGTTATTTCTTGTTATAAATTCCCTGTCGCACGCGTTAGCTCGCGCAGATTACTTCGAGCACAATTGCTAATCTTCTTGGTTCTTTTGGTGAAGTCACGTAGAATGGAAATATAATAATAAAAATAAAACAGTAAAATAAAATTCCCACGACGTTTCGGCCACAACACAAGTAGCCTTCCTCAGGTGAAGAAACAGAACTGTCGGGAAGACAGCGCTTCAGTGAACACTGCCAAGCTTGGCAGCGTCTTTTAAGCTGGGTGGGAGGAGCAGAGCGCCTTGACGAAGGAGTTTACATATCAACAGAAGCATTTAGCATTGAAGTAGCTGTGTTAATGTGTTGGATTAGCAGGATGTTAAAGTCAGAAATTAGCATGTAACTGGGAGATTAGCATAATCTTAGTGTGAGGAATTAGCATGTAACTATGTCGGAAAAAATGGCGGTTTCTTTTTTCTTTTCAACGTTAGCACCACGGAAAGCGACGAGCTTTGTTCAGACGGATGAGTCCATCTATGCTCGGAACAGAGGAGGGGGGAGAGAGAGAAACAGCCACAATGCGCTGCTCTGTCCTGTGTTGCGTTACAACTATGCTATAAACTAGACTACTATACATTACAATATTATACCTTCCAATCTAAACTACATTGTATAATATCGTATACACAGCCCAATGTAAGCTCTAGCACTCTGTCTACAGGAAAGCTACCCATACGAATGCTTACTTAAAACCGGATTCCCACCACCATCCATCCTGGAAGAATTCCCTCATCAAGACTCTATACCATAGAGCCCAATGCATCTCCGACCAGGAACACATTGCCAGTGAACTCAAGCACGTACACCAAGCTCTCAAGGCTAATGGTTACTCCGACTACGCAATCCACAAAGCTATCACTCCAACCATGAAGAAGGATCCTCTTGAGGAGCCATTCAAAACCATCACCTTACCCTAGATTGCGGGGGTCACAAAAAAGATCTCCAAAATCCTGAATAAACACAAGATCCAGGTCCGATTCAACACAGTACATAAAATCCGTGATCTGGTTTCGTCGGTAAAAGATGTGGTTCCAGACATACAGTACCCGGGCGTCTACAAACTAAGTTGCCTCTGTGGTAGCAGCTACATTGGAGAAGCCAAACGACATATCTCGGACCGCATCCGTGAACATAAAGCAGACTTGAAACACGGTAGGACGAACACCTCAGCCATGGCAGATCACTGTTATAATTCAGTGGGCTCACATGACATTGACTTCTCCAAGACGGATGTTCTCTGCAAGCCATCCGGCTACCACGAGAGATTCGTTCATGAGGCCATCCACATATACAAACACGAGACAATTTCAACCGAAAAGATGGATTCTGGCTTAGTAACCATTGGAAAGACGTTATAAACCATTTAAGTTCTTGATTGATTGTATTTTACGGTGACTTTCAGACCGCAATCCATTCGCTGTCACTGCCTCTTAATACCTTTCACACGACGGTCAATGGTATGGTTTATAGCATGTTGTATAATAATAAATAGTATAACAGTGTAATGTTTAACATAATTCACAAGGCAATATATAGTATTGTAATTCATCTTCTTGTAATTGTATAGTGAATATACAGCAGTGTGGTATACAGTTGGGTTGGTAGAATAATACAGTGTAATATTACAAGTCTAATATTTTATAGTCTAAAGTATAGGGTAGTGTATAGTAACGCGTTATATAATTCAAGGGTGGGGTTTGTCTATGGCAATGTGTATTACGGTGTATAGTCGTGTAATTTAGAAAAAAAGTTTAGTTGGAGGCATAGTAGTATAATGCATAATGTTAGAGCTTACATTGGGCTGTGTATACGATATTATACAATGTGGTTTAGATTGGAAGGTATAATATTGTAATGTATAGTAGTCTAGTTTATAGCATAGTTGTAACGCAACACAGGACAGAGCAGCGCATCGTGGCTGTTTCTCTCTCTCCTCCCTCCTCCGTTCCGAGCATAGATGGACTCGTCCGTCTGAACAAAGCTCGTCGCTTTCCGTGGTGCTAACGTTGAAAAGAAAAAAGAAACCGCCACTTTTTCCGACATAGTTACATGCTAATCCCTCACACTAACATTATGCTAATCTCCAAGTTACATGCTAATTTCTGACTTTAACATCCTGGTAATCCAACACATTAACACAGCTACTTCAATGCTAAATTCTTCTGTTGATATGTAAACTCCGTCAAGGCGCTTTGCTCCTCCCACCCAGCTTAAAAGATGCTGCCAAGCTTGGCAGTGTTCACTGAAGCGTTGTCTTCTCGACAGTTGTTTCTTCACCTGAGGAAGGCTACTTGTGTTGTGGCCGAAACGTCGTGAGAATTTTATTTTATTATGTTTTAT